TCTATCCTATTTACCGAGAAATCAAACGAGAGCCTACGCTTTTATATGAACTACCGAAGACTAAATACTATTATTAAGAGAAATCGATATCTAATTCTATTAATAGACGAGATTCTCGCGAGAATTTAGAGCTATAAATATCTTACTCGATTAGATATTATAGCCGTATTTAATAAATTGCGTATATACCCTAATAGTAAAGATTTTATCATATTCGTTATCTTTCTCGACGTATATAAGTATTAAGTACTCTCCTTCGATTTAATTAATAATCTAGTTATCTATTAATAGTATATAAATAATATTCTATTCGAGTATCTAAACGACTTCTATTAAGTCTATCTTAACAATATTCTCATTCACAATCAATTAAGAAAGAAACATATTACGTATATTCGAAAGATCCTTTAAAAGTTATAAGAGGTCGAATTATAGATAAATATTCTTAAATACAAATTTTATATCTAAAAGACAAAATTTTTAGATCTTCTTATTTCGATTAATAATCTATAAATGAATTCTATTAAAATTTAAGCTATTATTAAATAGTCTACCTCTATTAATTTAAAGAAGATATAAATCTTTATTAACTTTTATAACTTCTATTATTAATTTATAAGAGATTTCTCGAAGATTATAAAATTAATAATAAAATTTATAATTAAGAAAGTAATATTTAATTAGTTATCGATCTATTAGAAAGCCTTTTATTTATTAAAAATAGTTATTATAAGAGCTTCGATTCTACGCTATTTCGATAAATCGAAAAATATTATACTTAAAATAAACTTCTCTAATTACGTTAATAATAATATTTTATCTTAATATAATAACGACGAAATCTTATACTCGATAGTTTTTTATAATAAGAATCTTATCTTAGCTAAGTATAATTATTAGATCTATAATAAAAAGTTATTAATTATTATTCGCTATTTAAAATACTAGCGTTCTAAATTAAAATATACTAATATCTTTATTAAGATCTTTACGAATTATAAGAGCTTAATATACTTTATTAAAGAAAAAAATCTAAGTCGTCGCTAAGCCCGCTATTTAAATATATTATTTAAATTTAATATTAAAATCATCTATTATCTAAGGCCTTAGAACGTTAAGGCCGATATACTTATATATATAATCGATTCTAAGCTAAATAGCTTAAAGAACGAATACTTAAAGTAATAATATTAGACGATATTTACGTTTAATTATTTAAAACTTAATAATAAAGACGTTAAAATTTATATTATTAACGATCTTATCTTCTATAGAATAGTCTAGAAAAATAAAATTAATAAGTTTTATAACGAAATTCGTAAGGTAATTACGAAAGATAAGAATAAACTCCGCGAAGTTATACTTAATAAGTACTCTATAAAGAATAAAGTACTCTATTATAAGAATCGCTTATAAATATTAGAAGATCTATATATCGACGTTATTCGCGAAATATACGATTAATCTTTATATAAATATCTCGATATAGTTTATATCTATAAGCTACTTAAGTAAGAATACTATTAATAAGATATAAAAGCTATTATTACTATCTATATTCAAAATTACTATATCTACTATAGATTTAAAACCCCTTATAATCGAGAATATAATCTATTATAATCTCTATTAATTCCTTAAAAGCGATAATAAAATATCTCGATAGACTTTATAATAAATTTATCTATATTTAATAGATATAACGCTATTTAAATAGCGATAGATCGACTTATTAAGAAATAATACTACGTCGTATACTCTAATATAGATAAAAAAACTATAATCGAAAAGACGATTAACATATTATTTAAGAAGATCTTTCGCTTATATAGTCTATCGATATTAATAATTTTAAATAGAGACTCTTAATTTATATCGATAATATAAAAAGTCTTTTATAAATAATTTGAGATTAAGGCTAAGCTATTAATAATCTTTTACTCTAAAATTAATAAATAAATTAAACGGGCTAATTAGAATATAGAATATTATCTTCGAATATACTATAATTATATATAAAATAATTAATCTAGATAATTACTTATTACTAAGTTCGCTAATAATAATACTACTTTCGTAATAACGAGTATTCTATTATTCTTTATAAATAAAGGCTTTTACTCTTAAATAAGTTTTAGTTTAGATATTATTAATTATAATATTACTCGTAAGCGCCTCGACGTTATCTAAATAAAGAATATTATTAAATATATATAATAAGTTTTTAATTATATTCGAAATAATATAAATCGCGTTTAAAAGATTATAATAATCTAAATTAATAAACGACGCTAGAAGATTAGTTTTAAAATAAATAATATAATCTTTCTTAGTAGTAAGAATATTATCTTAAATTAATTATCTCGAAAGTTAAATAATAAGAGATATAGCTTATTTAGAGTAATAGATCTCGTAAGAATCTTATATCGCTTAGAGCTCTTAGTAAGTATAAAGATCTATAATATATTTTATTCTAATCTCTTAACTCTTATATCGATAAACCTTTTATCTAGATAGATTAATTCTCTATTAAAATATATTATTATCGAGAGCCGAATTAAATAAATAATAAAGAAGATTATCGTCTTTAAATTCATTAATAATCGCCTTAAATATTAGATAAAATAAAAGAGTCTTAATAAGAATCTTAAATAATATAACTTAAATAGTGGCGAATTTAAAAATTATTAAGATATAATCGATAATTTCTATAAGTAATACTCGTAAGTAGTTTATTAAGCTTAGTAATATCTCGAATATCGCGTTTTTAAACGAATTAAAATCGTTCGATATTTTATAATAACTTTATTTTCTTCGCGTTCATAATTCAATTTCTTAGACTTATATTACTCTATAATAACCGCATTTTAGATCTATTAAACCGTCTTCCTTTATTAATATAACCCTTAATATATTTTAAAACTATATCAGATTATATATAAATCTTATTATTATTATTACTAGATATAATTAATATTAATTAAATAGCTTATTACAAAGAAGCTTACGCTAAATTAATTTAATATTAAATTAAAGTTTAACGTCTATAACTCGATTTAACTCGAGATCTCTCGATTAATTAACTCGTATTATTTTATTAATATCCTTTACGCTAAAATATTAACTCGAGAATTACTATTACTTATTAAAATACTTATATTCACTACTTATCTATTATTATATTAATTTCTTCTAGACTAAAATTTTTATACTCGCTATATCTCTAACTAGTAATAATATTAACGCGAAGATTAAGATATAAGCTCTTATTACTTATACTACCGCCGAGAACGATCGTAATATTAGAGATCTCGAATATTAAAAATTCTTTATTATTTTATTAATTTTTAAGCGAGCGTATATATATACTACTTTTACTACTCTTTTACTTATTAATTATAAAAATATAATTCTATAAGAGAGAGGGGGTAGTATTATAACTATATTCTATATCTCTCTTAATATATTATTTAGCTCTATAGTCTATTAAAGTCTAGCGTATCTTAATAAAGTTATCTACTATTATCTAATATCTTCTATCTATATAGCTATTCGATATCTAGTTATCTTATTTAATATATCTATATTAATATTACATCTATATTAATTCTAATAAAGATCTTACGTTATATACTCTCTATAATTCTATATTAAATTATTATTTAGTAAGCGAAGAATATTACTATAACTTAATCTATTATTTTTACTATATTAAGAAGTAAGAGAAGAAACTATAATAGATAAATACGGAGAATATTACGAAGAAATTAAGCGATAATAAGATTATTATCGTTAAGAATACGACTTAACTCTTTAAGATCCCACGTTATATACTCTCTATAATTTTATATTAAATTATTACTTAGTAAGCGAAGAATATTATTATAACTTAATTTATTATTCTTACTATATTAAGAAGTAAGAGAAGAAACTATAATAGATAAATACGAAGAATATTATAAAGGATACTACGAAGAATACTACGAAGAAACTAAGTAATAATAAGACTATTATTATTAAGAATACGACTTAGCTCTTTAAGATTCCACGTTATATATTCTCTACGATTTTATATTAAATTATTATTTAGTAAGCGAAGAATATTACTATAACTTAATCTATTATTTCTACTATATTAATATAATATATTACTACGATCTCTATAGAAGAAATATCGAATAATATATATTTAAATAAATTGAAATCGTTCGATGTCTATAGCTATTTCATTATTCGAAAGATTTTACTACGATAAGAGATATTATGAAATTTATACTACTAACTAGCACGTTATCTTTATTTCTTTTTAATATTTCGATACTTCTTACTATAAGAATATAACCTTTCTCTATTTTTTATAGATAATTATTATAGATTAATTCTCTATACTCGATATACCTTTCTAATTAGATCTTAGCGCGTCTCTTCGTATATATATATCTATAGATTATATAGATTAATGAAATAACTTTATATTATATTAATATTATATAATATTAAAAACTATTTCTTTAATAATAATTCTAAATTAAAAAAATAGATTATGAATTTAATTTATAGGCCTAAACTTGTATATACTAATAGCTTACGATATTGTTACGAATTCCTTTACTAGGCGTCCCGATTGGGCTTAGTGCCTTGGCACTGCAGAGACTTCTTTCACTGCAGGCCTACATTTATATAATTATCACATTACACACATACATTATTCATATATATAATTCCACTTAGAACATTTCCTTAACAATGGTAGTAATATCTCGGTCGATTCAGGCCTGGCACTAGCTGTCCTCGTTACATTCTCACCTATTCAGTGCCTCCAATACCAAGAGACCTCTACATTACTCACTACCGGAGAAATCTACAGAGAATACCACTCCCACCGAGTGCAGCATCTCCAGTGTCTCTTAGACGCCTACCTCGCCTTATCCAGCACCTAATCGGACCCTACAAACACTCGTCTACAGCGATCCTTTCACTAGGCCATTCGTCCTACCACCATGGCGTACAATAGCCACATTTCCAGCCCTATGCCTGGCTTTACAGCAGAGCAGACTACGTCCTTACAGGCCATGATTGATGCATCCGTCAAAGCAGCAATTGAACAGGCTATCAGTCAGGCTATGACAGCCTTCGAGACCAGACAGGTTGTCGCTCAGGAACAGTCAATTGTGGAGAAAACTGCGGAGAAACCTACGGAGAAAACTGCGGAGAAATCTACGGAGAAGACTACGGAGAACAAGAGCACGGGCAGCAGCAGTCCTATTCAAGCCGGCACCCTCTCCACTCTTCCACACCAGGCCACCACTCAGAATTGCGGAGATTCTTCCGCTCGCCTCAACGGTGCTCCACCTCCTACTCTCGCCTCTCAACTCGCCTCTCAACTCGCCTCTCAACTCGCCTCTCTACCCGGCTATATTCACTACGCGGAAGGTATGGAGGCTACAGGCCAAGGATAGGGTTTTCAGAGAAGATTCAGGAGAAGTAGGCCTTTGGCATATGGTGTATCTCTGGCGTCTCCATGTCTGCAGCGAGGACGCTGTCATTTTTCTTCTTCGGTGGCATTTGTTACGGATTCCTCCACTAGGCGTCCCGATTGGGCTTAGTGCCTTGGCACTGCAGAGACTTCTTCCACTGCAGGCCTACATTCATACAATTATCACACCACACACATACATTATTCATATATATGATTTCACTTAGAACTATTTCTTAATAGATATCTTATAATATCGTTAAGTATATATTATTTCTTAATAAGAGTAGCTATTTTCGATACTTTAATAGACTCGAATTTCTTAAATAAAGTAATACTTTATTCGTTAACGTTATTATTATATATTAGCAAATATTTCTTATTATTAATAAGTTAATATATATATTATTTAAGTGCTTCGTCTTAAAAATAGATTTATAGATTATTTCGTAGTAGCTCTATATTCTTAACTCTTATAATATTCTTAATTCTATTAATAAAGATAGTAATATCTTAAAAATAGATTTTTTTCTTAATATACTTTATATCTACTATTATATTAGAAGATTTACTATTATAGAAAGATTTAAAGAATTTAATATCGCTATTAAAAAAGCGAGGTTCGTTACTTTTATTATTTTTATTAGTAGTATTTTATCTTAATATTTCTAGATTCTCTAAATTTTCTAGTAGATTTAACGGGCTAGAGAGTTTTAGATTTAGATAATTTTTTATATAGCGATTAATAGTATTAATAATAATTACTTCTATATTAATAACTTAAAAATCTACTTCGAATTCTTTCTCTATTATTCTACTATTATTACGACGATAAATAATCTTATTAATAGAGATATTTAAGATTTCTAGTAAACGACGTTATAAATCGTCGAACTTAATAGTGAGTTAAGGATTATTATTTAGAGATCTAATAGGCGAGATATTTATTTACTTTAGCGGAGTATACTTTTCTACTTCTAAAGTATTATTAATAGATAAGAGATTAAAGAGGTAGTATTTCTAAGTTATAGATTCTTAAAAGAGATAAAGAGTTACTCTTAGAGTAGTATAGTCGATTATTTAATCTTTTAATTAAGTTTATTAAAAAAGAGAATTAAGTAATAAAGAATAAGATTATATATATTCATCTTTTAATAATAACGAGTAAAGGCCTATGAATTAAATTCATAACCATTCGTTTTAATCGGGGCTATCGAGTAAATTTTGGTGAGCGATCTTTAATAAGCGATATCTGAATTCCTTACCTTTAAATATCTATAAGACTAAATTTAGTAATTCTTTTTTTATCTAAAAGCTTACATTATACTCTATAGTTTAAATAAAAAAATTTAAAATTTTAATAGAAAATAAAAAAGTTATTCTAAAATCAAATAATATATACCTTTTTTTTTTTAATCAGGGCTATCCGACTGTCGAGCGAACTCTAATAAGCGATATTTAAATTCCTTACGCTTTAATAATTATAAGATCAAATTTCAAAATTCTTAAAAATTCGAAAAGCGTAGACTACGCTCTAAAATTTAAGATTTTAAAATCTTAAAAAGTTAATAGAAAACAAAAAAGTTTTTTTATATGTTAATAATATATATCTATTTTTTTAATAATTGCGAATATTAATTTATTTACTCGCGGTATCTAACTAAAAAGCGTAGACCTAACGAATTAATAATTAGCTATATATATAAATTCAAGATTTTCTAATTTAACTCTATCTTATTCTATTATATATACTAATAATATTAATCTAGTAGATTTAAGAATATTTCTTATAAGATATTAAATAACTTTTCGAGTAGTCTTATTAATAAGAGAGATTACTTAATAATCGAAGATAATAAAATCTTATAACTATTAAATCTAAATAATTATATTATAAAAAGCTAGTTTAATAAATATATAGAAGTAGCGAAAGATAAAGAAGCGAAAGATAAAGAAGTATAAAGATTCTTCGTTCTTATTTAAGAAGTATAAGAATTCTTTACTTTAAGAAGTATAAGGATTCTTAACTTCGAATTAATTTGATATTAATAGAGGACTTTATTAATTTCTAATAGTAAGCTATTATATAATAGTTATTGCTATATAGATATTACTATTATTATTATAATAATATAAGATTTTTAGAAATCTTTCTAAAAAAGACGTTATTTAGATAATAAAAAGATAATTCTTTTTCTATGAAATCTAGTTAATTTAAATATATATATTAAGCTATATTAAGTTATTAGTTACTAGCTCTTATCTAGTAAGTATAACTTATAATTTTAATAATATATCTTTTAAAGATAGAACGCTTTTTTTTATATTATATAAATAATTTAACTCTATTAATATTTAAAACCTTTTTATTAAAATTCTTAAATTCTTTTAAATAATAATATATTTATAATTTATTTATAACGATTTAATTTTAAATATTATTTAAATTTAGAATTAAGAAATTTATAGCTAATATTAAATAAATAGAAAAAGAAAAAAAATTAATCTAAGATCTATTTCTTTTAATATATTAAAGTTTTTTTTTTAAATTCTTATTTAATCTAATTAAATTAGTCTTTATATAAGTAGAAGATTTTCTTTTAAATAATCTTTCGAGTAGTAAGCTCCTTTAATTATAACTATTAGAATCGATATAGATGTAATATTAATATAGGTATATTAAATAAGATAACTAAGATATCGAACTATATAGGTGGAAAGGAGATATAATATAATAGGGAATATCTCCGCCAAGGCCCGCTAGCTATAGGGCTAAGGGGTGTATTAAAGATACACTTATAATACTACCCCTCCTTCGTTAAATTATATTTCATAATTAGTAAGTGAAAAGATAGAAAAATGGGTATATATATACGCTTAACGTCTGAAAAATGATAAAAGCAATAAAGAAATAACCGTATCCGGGAACCCTAGTATCGTATCTTTCTTCGTGAGAGGTATTAGAAATAATAGTAGCTTTTTATATTTACGCTATAGCGACGTCGCTAGTTAAGATATAAACGTATATAAGAAGTCTAGCTAAGAGAAAATCGATATAATATAACGAAAACTATATTCATAGATATAGATATAAATAATAATAATTTCCGAATTCGTATTTAAGCGGATAAGATATCTATGAAATAATATAACGTAATTAATTAAGAGCTCTTAAATCGAATCGAGCTATAGACGCTAAAAACTCTAATTTAATATTAAGTAACTTTAATATAATCTTCTCTATAATATATTATTTAGCTAATATTAATTATATTTCGTAATAGCGATAATATAATTTATATATATATTAATATAGCTTTAAAAGATCTTTAGAATTATATTAGTAACGAAGATTTATATAAAAAATTATATATAAGATAATTTCTAATTAATATAGATCTAAGAAATTAATTCTCGATTTTGAAAAAAATAAGACTATTATAAAGATATCGAACGATTTTAATTTAATTAAAAATAAGATATTCGAGGTAATTCCGGCTCAGAAACGCTATCGCTATTAAAGGCCCCTCGCTCTAATTTCTTTATAGATAAGACTCTTCGAAATATCGCTTATAGAAGTTATCTATTAGATTCTAGTAATTTTCGAATTTATTATTATTCGTATTATATTAGTTAGAGTTATTATCGAGGCCTTTTTATTTAACTTTATACTTAAGACGACTATAGATTAATTTAAAATTAAGTATTTCTTTAATAATTTATTTAATTTAATTATTAATAGTAATATACTTCGGCGAAGAGTTTATCTATTCTAATAAGAGATTATTTACTATAAGACTTAAGAGATTAAAATAAAAGACGTTATAGATTTTTATAATTAGCGAAAGTTCTAGACGATATAAGATTCTTATAAGATCTATAATCTCGAATAAACTAAGTCTCTTATAATTTAATTTATAAAAAGAGCGATTAAAGATAATATTCTTACTATTTAGAAAGATCTTATCGTCTATATCTTTTATTAATACTTATTAATTTATATAATTATAGTCTTCTAAACGCGATCTATATTACTTTAAATATACTTAAAAACTTATTCTATATAATCTATAATATTCTCTATCTAAGTAATATTAAGACGCTTATATATAATCTTATAATTAATAATATTTAAACTAAAACTTATTTAAAAATAAAATCTCTTATTTATAAAAAAAGATAAGATATTAGTAGTTAATAAGATAGTATTATTATTAATAAACTCGATAATAGATAGTTATCTTATTTAATCGTTCTATATATAATTATAGTATATTTAAAGATAACGCTCTATATTCTAATTCGCTTATTTAATCTATTTATTAATTTTAGAATAGAAAACTATTAATAGCTTAACTATAATATCTAATCTCTTATAAAAAGATTTTTATATAATAACTATAAATTAAGAGCCTTAATTTAATATTATTAAGATTAATAAGCTATATAAATAAAATACTTTCTTAAATAATAAATTAATTATCTTCTTAGCGATAATACTTTTATTAATATCGAAATAGATTACATAGTAATATTCCTTAATAAATTAATTAATCACTATTTAAATAGCGTTATAATTATCGAATATATATAAATCTATAACGAAGTCGACCGATATATCTTACTATCGCTTCTATAAAATTAATAAAGACTATAATAAATTATACTCTTAATCGCGAGGCGCTTTAATTCTTTAATAGATATAATAATTCTAAACGTAGATAGTTATAATAATCCTTATATCTCGCTAGTAATATTCTCTTTTAAGTAGCTTATAAGTACGTGCTACTCCGAAATATTTGTAGAATAGTTAATTATATATCTTTCGAATAACATCGATATATATATTATCGAATACGTATAAACGATCTTTATAATAAAGTATCTCATCTTATATAAAATATTTACTAAGAGTAATCCTCTAAAACTTATTCTTATTTTCGATAATAACCTTATAGATTTTCATATAATACTCATCTTTCTTATTAATCCCTATTATCTTATAATAAATA